CTATTTTTACTATTCCAAAATCATTTTTTCCATTTAAAAATTCAAAGTTATAAAAATTGTTTGAGTGTTCAAAAATTTTATAAATTGATAAATACAAATAAATAAATATTTAAACAAATGACATGAACTTCTTAAAAAGAGATAATGCATATTTGTTTAAAAAATTAAAATATTTGTAGAAAATTACTCAATTGAGATGGAAAAGGTCTTATGTTGTATGTGTCTTGTGCCTCAAAACTACCGTGTTTTGAGGCACAACAAGGCTATTAAATGCATCTTTCAAAAGATGTGTTATTAGAAAGAAAAATGATAGGTCTTTCGATGTTAATTATCGACTCTTCCTCAGAATACATCGTGGTTGGATCCTATTGGAACTCTTAAAAAAATTCCCGTAAACATCTCTTTCTCTTCGACTCATTCTCAACCACGTTATATTCGGAGGAGTAGTCGGCAATTGAAGTCGGAAGATCTATCACTTCTCTATTAGAAATTATGTTTTACAAAGACTTGAAAAAAAATTGTTAAAAATATCAAAATTTCTTTTGTCTCCTCTCCCCTTTAATTCATACCAAAATCTACATCCTCCACATATTAAAATATTATTATAAAAATTTGAACAATTAATTATCACAACAATTCAAGATGGTAGACTTAATGGTTTGAATATATATATTATAACATTGAGATAGGGACTTGGATCCTAAATTGAATTCACTACATATTGAGATTTAAAATCTATCTACTATTTGTGTTATATTACGTAATTTAAAGAAAGTTTGAAAACTGCAAATTTACCAAAGTTTGACGTTATTATCTCTACCTCATCTTTTCTAAATAAAATATCCTCCCTCTTTCTCTCTCCCTCCTGTTTATTCCTATCTTAAATAAGTCGCGATGGTCTTTGTTTCTCTTTTAACCTAATCGATATTCTGTCTCATCTTTTCTATATATAGGAATTTTGGTTGTATTTTCTTTAACTCCCTCAATATCCATGCTTGTATATATATATATATATATATATATATTTTCTAACCATTACTATTGCTTGCATTTCTTGCAATCACATTTTCATCCATCTTAATTCCATGGCAAAGATCATTTATTGTTTACGTGAAATATCCCCCAATAGTGGGAATGAGCAAGAGGAGAGGGAGAGATGATCATTAATTTTTTTTTTTTTGAAAAGATGAGGGAGAGATAATGATGTAATTAGAGTATGGTGAATTTTTCTTAATTCAAAAGGGTGCAGTTTTCAAACTTTGGCAAATTTTTCTTATTTAAAAACGGTGCAGTTTTCAAATTTTATTTAAATTAGTTGACGTGGTTTAACACCAGCAGTAGATAGATTTTAAATGTCACAGTCAATCTGTTTTCAAATTTTATTTAAATTAGTTGATGTGGTTTAACCCCAACAGTAGATAGATTTTAAATGTTACATGTCAATATATAGCGAATTCAACTTAGAATAACTTAGAGGATACAAGTCCTATTAAAAGTCTAAAAGACAAATGAGGAAGACTAGTTATAATAGAAGAAAAAGGGGAGCTAAAAATAACATGGGGGCTAATACTTCCTCCGGGCTTATAAGTGTACACTTTTCCATATTTAGCTGTTACAAAATAATTATTCCAATTCAAAGTCAATGTATTATATTTTACAGCATTCTTAATTTACCTTCTTGCATTGGACTTATAAAAACAAAACATCATCAAATCTCTTCGACTCAGTATGGATAGATTTATAATTCATTCACTACCAATACAATAAAAAAATATATACTTAAAACAACATCTTAAAAAGTTAGGTTTCCAAAAACGGATATTAAAATAGAACGAAAGGAGTAAGTAAATTAAAATGGGGTTATTGTTAGAATAATAGAACCGCTTTTGTGACTAGAATTGTCAAAAAAAAAAAATTATGGTTGGTGAAAACATGTTAGGTGTTTGGTGATATATTATAATAAGTACTTTTATAATTAAATTTTTAATTATTATTATTATTATTATTATTATTATTATTATTATTTATTTTTTTATTTTTTTTGTAACAATATTTTTTAAAACACTTGTATCGCTAATTTTATAATAATATCCTTCAATATAATGTTACCATATTTGATAATAGCAATTTTATAAAAAAAGTGTTGAGATTGTCTTTATATAATATAAAAAAGTATAAAATTGGGTTAGAAAAAATAGTTACCTAAAATATACAACCTCTACTTAGGATCTAGTTTTAAAATTTTCAAATTCTAACTTTATTCGAAAGCTCTACTGAATTAAAATTGGTGACCATTAAAAGCGCTTTTAATGGTTATCAAACACACCTAAATGCGATTTTTAAAATAAAAACGGTTTCAAACCGTTGAAAAACAATCTCAAAAGAAAATATAATACCCAAAACAATCTCAAAAGAAAATATAATACTCCATCGGTGGCTTAATAAGTGTCCACATTTCCATCTTTAGCTATTTCAAAATAATTATCCTAATTCAAAATTAATGTACTATATTTTATAACATTCCTAATTTATCCTTCTTGCATTAAACTTCTAAAAACAAAATAACATCACATGGTCACCATGGATAAGTTTGGTAATTTATTAATTGTCAATATAATAATATAAAAAAGTTAATATTAAAATTAAAATTAAAATTAAAAATTACATCTTAAAAAGTTAAATTCTTAAAATTTTTTACTAAAGTAGGACTCGAGAATTCATGTTGCCGACCACGCTTATGAGATTGGATGGAGATATATACTAGCAGTAGCCAACCTTAGTTGTAAATACGGTGACTATATGTCGGGTGAGGCCCCAAGACTATGAAGGTTGCACCTCGTCAAACTCGCATGGTTCCGACCATGGATCCACCCATTTGAGAATTGATAGGGCAAGCTAGAATACGCGTAGATAATTGTGAAACCTCTCTGTGACATCACTTGCCTTCCATCGCTGTTTAAGCCTACTTTTACGTTCGTCTCTTTGTAATTTGTATTTGTTCATGGGACCTGGAAATTGAGTGAGATAGGACAACAAATAGTGTTGCAATTGGCTACATGATTGACCAGAAATTTTGATTGACTCCCAACCTACTAATGGAGGACACATTAAATCCATATTTTTTATTATTTTATTTATTCTTATAAGAAACTTTGATAGTCTTAGAAATTAAGAAATAAAAAAATATTATATTGTATTGATATATTGAAGATTGTTTTTCCAATTATTCATAAGTAATGTAATAAGTGAATTATATTCATTTATCTTGAAGTTTAGATAAATTGTACATGATAAATTGTTCAATATTTACGACTTTTATCTCTCTTGAAATTCGACGCGTGTACTCAATAACATTCCTAACGTTTTCTCTGATATAGAAAATGACAATTTTATTCTTCCATTGTATAAATTGAAGATTACATAAATGTTTAGGAAAATGTTTGGAGATAGGTGAGTGATGAACAAAGTAATCTATCGATAATAATATGGTATGTGTAATTATATATGGTAATTGTAATATACAAGAATCCTAGATGGTAAGTAAGAGGATAAACTTGTAATCTAACCGATCGAATTATCTATAAGTAATGTAATGAGTGAATTACACTAGTTTTTCTTGAAGTTTAGATAAATTGCACTCAGATAAATCGTTCAGCATTTATGACCAAATTTTATAAAATGATAATTTTATCCTTCCATCGTATAAATTGTAATATAATATATTATTATAATATAAGGGTATTGCTGACCTTTCATCCTCAAAGATACTTTTCAGTCAGATGCGGATTTAATATAGATCAAAATAATAAATGTTTTACTTATGTGTAATTTATTCAAATATCTGTAAAGATAAGTGTAATTTATTTTAACATACATAGCAAGTGTCACGAGACAAAAGGTACAACCGTGATATATTATGATATTTTTATTTTGTTCTTTCCTTTTGAAATTGAAAATTCTAAGCAATGTTCATTTTATCAAAAAATTTGGAGAAATTTTTGGTCTACTTGCTTTGTTGCTGCATTCAATTCAAAAAAGCTAATATGCTGAATAGCAATAGAAAAATTAAAGAGGTTTGGACCACATGTTAAGATTCATTATCTAACTTTCAATCAGCTTCCACTTGTCCGTTAGGTAACCAAAAATCATGCTCTCATTTTCTTAAAACGAAAGAATAATGATTTAGTGCCACCAAATAAGGGATTCATTAGTAATTAAGTGGTATTAGAAGTTAAATAATTGCTCTTCATAATACAAAAAAAAAAAAAAAAACAAAAAAAAACAAAACAAAGATTCATGACTGATCGTGGGGTACTAATAATAATAATAATAATAATTATTATTATTATTATTATTTTATAATGAAGAATCTTTCTAAATTAGCTGCCTTTTTATTTTATTTTATTTGTGGTTGAAAAATGTTATTTGAACTTAAAACTCTAAGAAAAAATATTAATAGATAGAATTAAAAAATTTCTTCAATTGACATTATCACTAGAATTTTATTTAAAAAAATCTCATCAGATGCATCTCAGGGATTCAAATCCCTTCAATTGACATTTAAAGTTTTAGGTCATAAAATCATTATTCGTTTTTAGATATAAGAGAAATCTTTGACTTTTAAATTACAACCTACAAAAATATACGAACACACGCATGATGATATATTCAAAATTACAATCTATTTTTAACTAATAATTTTATCATTTCTTTTATTTAAAATAAGTGTAGAAAAATTTACTTTTAATATTATATATATATATATATATATATATATTAGAAAAAAAATGGAAAAAGAAAAATAGCCGGAGACATGGCTTATGATATAGATTAAAAAAAGTAGAAAAAAAAAAAATTTGAGATGAAAGTAAGGATGAGGATGTTTTTGGTATAGTTGCGGGCTTCACTAATTCTAAATTTTTAAATTTTTATCAATTTTTTTTAAAGAAAAAAAGAAATTGAATTTCTCCCAATAATAATACTCCTACATAACCAGGTACACCGAGTTGGTGGTCTTCACTTGGGAAGCCGAATTCAATCTTATCTTAAATGATTAGACCATCACGCAACAGCTGATACCACCGCAAATGTTCCTCTGACCTTCTTTTTCTTTCCCGGAGAAAAATCCTCCGGCAACACTCTCTCGCTCTTTCCATTAATATCGAAATAATAGAAACAGTGTTTCATAAATACATACATAAATTTAGACACACATACACATACATATATGCACACACTGGATAGAGTCCAGTGTGTGTTCATTGAAGAAACACAACCACTAAATCGCAATCAAAGCTCGTGACAGAGGTAAGAGTACACAAACAGTAATGGCATATTTATTATTAATCGTCTTCTTCCATATTTACTGACCATGCTCACACATAATACTATTTGCAGATAGAGTTGGAGAGTTCGAGTCCAGTAATGAAATGCTCCAACCCCATCATCACCATCACCAAATGCAGTAATGAGGATTAAGTTCTGTATACACACTATTTCATCCATGGTCAATATGGAAGCTCAAGAAATTCAGCTCAAGATAGCTTTCATTTTCCTGCTCATCAACTCAGTGTTGACTCAGCAGCAGGTCCGTCTGAGTTCTGACTCGGAATGGTCGGCGTTGCTTGAGCTCAGGTCGTCTTTAGGGCTTAGGGCAAAAGACTGGCCTAAAAAAACCGATCCCTGCATAGAGTGGAACGGCGTCAAGTGTCAAAACGGCCGAGTCGTCGGATTAACTATATCCGGCTTGAGTCGGACTCGTCGCGGCCGTCTCAATCCACGATTTGCCGTCGATTCGTTGCCTAAATTTACACTATTAGAGTCGTTTAATTCTTCTGGGTTTTCGCTACCTGGGTCGATACCGGACTGGTTCGGCCAAAGCCTTGGTGCACTCCGAGTGCTCGATCTTAGGTCTTGTTCAATTACGGGTCTGATTCCTTCTACGTTGGGTATGTTATCATCTCTGTCAGTTCTTAATCTTTCTCAAAATCTGTTGTCTGGATCGATTCCGTCGTCCTTTTCGACTCTTCGCAATCTTACAATTCTCGACCTCTCTTCGAATTATCTTTCTGGGCCGATCCCTACTGGTTTTGGTTCAATTTCTGGTCTTCAGTTTTTGAATCTTTCCTACAATAGCCTCACTGCTTCCATCCCTGTCCAGCTCGGTAAACTTTCTCGACTGGTTGAACTTGATATCGGATTCAATTCTTTGTCTGGGTCATTACCGGAGGAATTAGGAGGGTTGAGAAGTTTGCAGAAAATGTTAGTTGGGAATAATGGTTTGGAGGGTCCATTGCCTGCTAACTTGTTTTCGAATCTCACTCAGCTGCGGTATGTAGTTCTGGGTAGGAATAATTTCGATGGTGATCTTACTAATGTTTTGTGGTCAAATCCCCAATTGGGTTTTCTTGATGTATCCAGCAATAACTTCACTGGTGTTTTGCCCGACCTTGCCACAATTTTTAATGCCAGCACTTCCTTCAACTTCTCGAACAATCTGTTCTATGGAAATCTTAGTTTTCGATATGGGGATTTTCATTTAGTTGATCTAACTTTATTTTTTATATATTTTTTGTTTTGCCTACTCAATATCTTTTTTATAACGATGAAATTATTGAAATTGGTCATGTTATTTATTTTTTTATTATATTTGTAATTTTATATTTATATTTACTTGTTTGTTATTAAAAAAATAAATATATAATTATATATATATTATTTTATAGGTGTATTTTTATTGTATTCGTATTTTATTTTTTTAAAATTTATTATATTATTATATTTGTATCGTATTCATATTTTGTATCAATATACGTGTTTTATAGGTTTTAGTAATCTTTGAAGTGGTTTGCACAGTACCACACCCGCTTTAGAAAAAGATCCAAATTCAAAAGCACAAAAAAGAAAGAAAGAAAAAAAAAAAAAAAAAAAAATTACATCACTGGTCTTTGCTGTTCTAACAGAACAATTGTAGGAAGAACTTTTTAAAAAGGTAATGGAAAGTAAATAATATGTTCTTCTGAAATGCATATTGTTATACCGATTTAGATTACCGAACATCACTGGCCTTTGATGTGGTTTGCACAGTACCACACCTGCTTTAGAAAAAGATCCAAATTCAAAAGCAAAAAAAGAAAGAAAAAAAAAAAAAAAAAAATTACAGCACTGGTCTTGGCTGTTCTAACAGAACAATTGTAGGAAGAATTTTTTAAAAAGGTAATGGAAAGTAAATAATATGTTCTTCTGAAATGCATATTGTTATACTGATTTAGATTACCGAACATGTTTTAATTTGAAATGAATGAAATTTCACAAAAAAAATAAAAAATAAAATAAAAACTACGTGTTTTTCATATGAAATACAAAATAAAAATAGTTGCCAAATAAAAATATTAATTATTTTGTATTTATTTTATATTCAGATTGAGAAAGGTTTTTGACTTTAGCGTAACTTCCAAACACAACATTCACTCTAATATTTTAACCAAAAAAAAAAAAACATTCACTCTAATAATGAGACATGATAAGGATCAGAGTTCAGTGCATTGGCCCGCCCCACGTCTATTCATTTTACTTTATTTCATCATTGCCTCATTGGTATGGCAACTTGTTCTTTCTTAAGACAAAAAATAAATAAATAAAAAATAAGAAGAAAATTGGGAGGGAAATGAATGTTAAAGGACTCACTTGATCTCAGAATATTTTATAAAAAGAAATATTAAAATATGTTTGTATGTATAAAATATAATACTTATCATATTTTGTAAAGAGTATAAAGAGCTTTTTATATAATTTTTTACCCAAACATTTGCTTTCTTTCTAAATGACTGAGCTATCATCATTGGTATGGTAAATTGTTCTTTCTTAAAATAAAAAATAAGAAGAAAAATATTTCGTCAGATCCCACTATTTTATCAAATTTAAAATAGACAAAAGGAAATGAATTTTAAAATTTTAAAAGCTGAATTTTAAAAGTTGAATTTTAAGTGTTGGAGTTTTTAATTAGTAATTTAAAAACTAATATTTTTTTATATTTTTAAAATTCTCAACGTTCAACATTTATCATTGATAATGATGATGTTATCATTGTATTACTCTAGCAAAAGAAAAATAAAAAAAAAAACTCCGTAGTTTAAAAGCACAAGTGAATAAAATTAATATTGCCAAAAAAAAAAAGAAAGTAAAATTAATTATGAGAGTGGGAATTTCACATCTCAGATGTTTTTCCTCTATCCTCTTGCCAAACTTATGGCCATTCCACTTTCTAGGTCAATTTTCATGTCAATGAATAAAAGTACAACGACCAATAATTTTAAAAGTGGTTAAAGTAGAATAAGTAGTGGTAAGCACTCTATGAAGCAAATGTCACACTCTTCCTTTCCAAAGACTAATAATAATTTTTTTTTTTTTTTTTTTTTCCTCCAAAGAGTTAATGACTTAAATGCAAGTGTGGCGTTATCTGAGTAGTTGGAGAAGTCTAGAATGTCTTATTCGAGCATTGCACTCTCCTTCACCCCCTTTAACTATTACCCCTTAACATTCTTGTCATACAGAAGGAAAAAATTACTTCAACGCATAAACCCTTCAAAAATGGAAAATTAATAAAATTATGAGTGTTGCTAAAGTTATTCAAATATATATATATATATATATATATATATATATATATATATATATATATATATATATATTTGAATAACTTTAGCAACACTCATAATTTTATTAATTTTCCATTTTTGAAGGGTTTATGCGTTGAAGTAATTTTAAAATTACTCCTTTAGGCTTGTTGAAACTTATTAAAAAATGGTACCATTTATACAAAACATAAAATAAAATAAAGTAGTCAAATGCTATAGTTACAACACGGCCTTTGCAACGCACAATCCGCACCGTAAAGTAAAATGGGTAGTCGATAAACACTCCCTAAAGTGATTGTCACTGTATTGACTCACACTCTCGTTTCGAAAGATTGGTCTCCCCAAAAGACAAACATAACATAAAAAAGGCAAAAACGAGAATTTTTTTCTTTTAAAAAAAAAAAAAAAAAAAAAAAAAAAAAAAAAAAATCTTATACAAGGATTAAAATGTAATCATAATAAAATTATAAAATTTTATAATAACAAGAGATAATTAAAAATCTTGTATCTCTAATCCAATTATTGCAATTTGAAAGGTCTAAGTCGGCCAACGTGCCCATGTATGAACACAATTGTTTTGGAATATGATTTTGATTTCAGGATACAGACTTCCATTTATTCTATGTCCAGACAATGAAAAAGTTGTTTGTAAGACTTTGATATTTCAATGATTTACAAACTTTAAATAAAATTTTGGATGATTGTATTGTACTGTATTGATACATGTGTTGGACTGAGTCAATTGTGTCTTATAATTGCTAAAGCTATTGTCAAGGACCAGTAAAACTGTGGGCCCACATAATGGAAATGGTAATCAGCTTTGGACTGACTAAGACGCGTTAGCCGCCATGAGGAAAAAAGCAAGTTATACCCGTAATCAATCGGCCTCCATTTGAAGATGAAACTTGGACGAGTCAATCCAAGTTCAACGCCATTGTCGAGTTGTCGACAGGAAAAAAAATTAAATGAATTGAGTTTAACAAGCTATTTCACGATTTTGAATAATTTCTCAAGATTTGGATTTGATATTTTAATCGGATCAGTCTTAAGCTTGGTACAAGTTATTCGATAACTCCCACCACCCAAAAATCAAACTTACATTAATACTGGAGATCCACACTTCAATTTTTTTTAAAAGAATTGCATTCCAATGTTAAATGATAACTTCACAAGTAAATGATGATTTTTTTTTCCAAATACCATAATTACCTTTTTAGAAATGAAATGAAAATGCTATAATAATCTTTATTCATATTTGAATAGACAGACGAGAAAAGAAAAAAAATAATAATATTCTAATTTGGATAAGATAAAAAATAATAATAATAAATAAATAAAAATAATAGCCAAATTAATATCATATACTTTTAAATAGATTACACATAAGTAGAAAAACAATTTCCCTTATAATTGTTGAGGGCAATTTCAGAATCATAAAAATACTACTTAACTCACTATCTTTTCCCTCACAATCTTCTCTTTGTTTTTAGAGGATAAGATATGAGTGATTTGAAGTGATAACTATTCTTCCAAATCTCTCCCAATCCTTTCATTTCTCTACACTTAAACTACCTCAACACCCATCAAACTATCATTTCCTTTCTTTTACCTCCAAAATACTCGATGTGACAACCTTAATTTTTCAAGTCAGTGCGTCCTGTGATAAACCGAAGATTGACACGGTAGCGGATCCAGATCCGGAAGTAAGAAACAAAACAACGGTCTCTCAAGGCACAACACACCTCTAAGACACTTTGATGTTCCACGAGGTCATGTAACTCAAAAGAATCAAATGTGGAAGTTAAGATAAAATAAATAAATAAATAAATAACAATTAAGCCCTCAAGGGCAAAATAGTCATTTCTGAAACCATGGATTCGGATGTCACTGAGCACATCGCTAGAAAGACAATAAAAAACTAATCAAGATGGACTCAAGAATTGCATAATTCGGAGTCCGGACGAAGGAGAAACGGCATGACAAAGAAAAACGAGCATTTAAGGCTAAAAAGATAAATTAATAATTATCCAGGAAGATCCGGGTGAAGCCAAGCACACTATTGGAAATATAGCGAAAAATTAGTTAAGTTCAAAAAAAAGTTCACTCGATTTTGGAGTCCGGACGAAGGAGAATAAGCGAAAACAAAAGTTGACGTCATGACGTCGAAACGAACACCCCACGCGCACCATGACATGCTACGGGAAGAAAAGTTCCAGCCATAACTGAGAGCCGAAACGACTTTTTCTGGAAAAACACGAAGAAGAAATCTCCCATAAAATCGAGTTTTCTACCCGATTGCGCGAAGGAATACAAAAAAAAAAAAAAAACTCACTATGAAATACCCAAAATGCCCCTAGAACAGAAGAGGTCAAGAGGGTCAAAAAGCTGCTATAGGATCTATCCGCAACTAAGAGTAAAAACGGGCCATCAAACGAATTTTTCTGGAAAAACACGAAGAAGAAACCCCCCCCCCCAAAATATAAGTTTTCTACCCGACAACGCGGACGGAAACAAAGAAAATGCACTGTAAAATACCCAGAATACCCCCCAAGAAGTTTAAAATCTTTCCGAGCTGCTGCCAAAGGAAAGGAAATTGGGCTTCGGGAGCTTTTTAAATTGCCTAAATTGAAAATGCAATCTTAAAATACACCCACAAAACTCCCGGAAGTTTTGGATCGGTCGACACATTTTTCAAAAAAAAAAGTCGATGAATAGTACCACGCACTAAAATCTCAAGTTTTAAAAACATATTTGTAAACTTTAGAATTAATGGCCCTTGGCCTCATGTCATACATACAAAATAAGCATCCAAAAAGTTTACTTAGGTACACATTACATATTTGGAATTAAGGATACAAGTTTTGATATATAAAACTACAAAATGACATTTTATGCTAACATTTGCATGAAATGGGAATTTTAAAAGTTACAAGTCATCTAAGGAATGATGAGCATCACGAACCAAGCCTTCGTACCTAAAACAAATCCCCAGTAACTTCGAGGTGAGTAACATAAAGCTACTCGTAGGAAATGAGCATGCATAGACCTATCCTTTTACAAAATTATCACCTTAAGGTGAAATAAGTCAAAAGGGCTCATGCCACCTAACGTCTATATCATAAGTGAGACTCAGGGATTATCCTAAGCTACTCATGCAATTGAAATGAATAACGGCATACAAGTATACATACTCAAGTACACTAAATCATATTGAAACATGATACACGACATACAAGCATGCATGTTCAAGTACCCTAAATCATGTTAAACAAGATAAGCAATATTTAACATGCATACACAAGTATTCGATATATAAAGAGTATCATAAATCAAGTATACAAACACAAGTATACTAAGCTATACAAAATACGCATAAGACAAGTATTCACGGTACAAGTATACTAAATGCAATCTAAACTCACGGAGCAAGTATACAAGTTCGAGTATACTAGATAAGATTCAAATACCCAAAGTAAGCATCAATTCTCAAGTTACAAGTAATCCATGATTAACAACTTGAAATTAAATGCAAAATCAAATAGTGGAAAGACTAGGACATGTGGTCACTAGACCAAGCAAGTATTTTCGGGTAATTACGACCCACAAGGTACCACCTAGTGCGCATTTATGACTTAGAAGACACTTGTCCACATACTAGAGCCAAACCCAGCCATCACATAAATTATGTCATCACAAGCTTTCCAAAATCAATAAGTTCAAAACTTATACAAAATTAAATACAAGTTACCACATTCCATGCGCAAGTAAGGTTGAATCCATACAAACCATGTCCTAGAATTCAAGTCTATATAGCATATGACATGTCATGTATTCAATATACAATTTATACCCAAAGTAAGAATAT